ATCGTATTTGTTTAATCCCGTGGGAAGATTATAATAGAGAGAACCGTATACTAATAATTTATATATTACTTGTGTCAACGAAAGTCTAAGCATGGGTTAATATAATTCATGGGGTAGAGTGACATTAAGCAGAAGCATCCATACTCTTACTTATAATTATCTAAGTTAAGTGGAAAGAATATAGAAAGATCCTATTCCTATACTTCCAGTATATATACATATTATACATACATCCTAATTATATTTTTACTTAACTAATACCCTCTTTCCGATGCCCTCCTAGTGCTTCGAGAAGCCACCCTTGATTGTCGAGTTCCTTACGACAATCCGTCGTGACCATACAACTGGGGCTAAATACGGAGGAATACCCTCCCCAGGAAATTAATTTAGGACTATATACACGCGCGGAGGAATACCCGTACTGAACTGTCACCATCAGCGGCCCACCTCATTTCCGCAGCATATAACCCCAAATAATGATATCCAGTAATCTGAACACCACGCTTAAATTACCAAATACTATTATAATTTCATCGTCATGACATAGAGTCATCGTAAATACGATCATTATACCCACACCACTGCATCTCCCATATAAGCTAGCATCATAATGAATATAACTCAAACATATAGTAAAGTTGGTATTCATATACTCGGAAAGTAATACAATACCAAAGTAGTATAAAGAAAAATGTTCTAATAAAAGTACAAGTCTTACAATAGAAGGAAAAGCTACTAGAGCCATACCCGAATTCTTCCGAAGACTCCGAGGACTGAAGATTCTATTCTATTTCGATTCCATTATACTCTAGAAACTATACTAAGCTTGAGAGATGAAATGAACTTCTTGCTTGAGGTGTGTCTTGAAATGGAGAGAGTGAGCTCCTTATATAGCCTCCCAATGACGGTTGTGATGGTTGGAATAGTCGGAAATACCCTCCAACCGTCATTGGGGGCTAATCCACACCATCTAGCCGCAACCCTGCATCCAACAGCACCAGGATGGGTTCGGCTGAACCAGGGGCTGGCCCAATCCGGCCCATTTTCGGCTGGCGGCCTCCTCTTCTGTTGCTCACTTCAGACTTGTGAATTTTGGCATAATTGGTTGTGTCATTTCTGCGTTCTTGGCCCATTCATTGATAAGTCTGATTCTCGACATCGTCCGATTGAATGATCGCTTGTTTTGATGGCGATTCTTCTCCACTTTGTGTTCATTATCAACAAGAGGTTAGTAATCCTAATGCTAGTAGAATATTTATTATTTTGACATAAATATGCATTGCAAGAATAACTAGTTCTCCTTTATTTAGGTAGTATTGACGGGTAAAACTAATCGCTAACGACCGTCAACAGGCTGTATCTCCTAGTTTTATCTCCCCGTCTCTTCCGGGGATGTCCAACTCGAGATCCTCGAAGCTTGGGACCACCCGCTCAACTTCGACCTTTGAGTACCGAGTTGGAACCGACCTACAATGGTATGTCTCGTCTTGCTGCACTGGTTTGGCCATGCCATCCGCCACCTTCACGAGAATCGAGGTTAGTATAATTAACATATGCACCAATTTTCGCAATCTAACTATTCATATATCATCAAACTACGAACAAAACTTGATTGATATGTTCCTGAAGGGTATGTACAGCTCACACAATGTTTGCTATGTGATTTCATCCACGAGGCAGGGTGGTTCGTCGACATCTGGCCCTGATACAGCTTCGATGCTCTGATCTCCTACTTACCCTATAGAAGTGCATCTGTTTTCTCTGCCTGAGGGGCTTACCATGGGGTGAGGAATGGACAGCTGTGTCTGTTGGCGTGACTCACTTAAGCATTTGTCCACCCGTCGTGCCAGCTCCTCTTGCATCCGTGCATCGTAAGACGCGACCTTCAATTCAAGAGATGTCAACTTCTCATGTTGATCTCTCTTGCTTCTCATGTGACTCCGGTACGTGTGGACGTCCTCTTGAAATCCATATTTCCTTTCCATGGAACCACGCCTTTTCCACGTGTTCATCCTGAGTGCTCAGCATTCTGCAGTGCGAGCGGTAGCTCGTCCTTCTCTCTGTCGGGCTAGAAAGTTCCCTGAGCAAAGGCCTCTAGGGCATCGACGAGATGGTGTGCTGTTTGTCGTATGTCATCACAAAGATTAGGGAGCCATCACCGGGATTCAGTGTTCACCCCATGAGCGTAGTACCTATTGGTATTTCTTACAGTTAAAGATAAAATTCGCAAGCGCACAGATATACTAATAAAGTGAATCTGGCCAAGGCTGCACCGACTGATTCATTTTCAATCTGCCGAAAGCTAAGGATTTCTACCCGAAGAGATGTAATACGAGTAACAGGGAAAAATGCGATGCAAAACCTGTCCCGAAACTTAACCCAGTTACCATTTACATTACTAATGGAATACGTGTACCATCGCTTTGCTCCCTCTTGAAGAGAGAACGGAAACAATTTCCACCATATGGTCTCTCGTGTCATGCCTTGAATCATAAGGCACAAAGACAATTGCTCAAACTCTCCCAGAGTATGAATTCTCCCTAACCATGTTTATGATTTCAGGGCGAATTTCATAGTCAGATGTGAGAATTGGCTCCGATGAAGGAGGTGGCTCATAAAATCGCCCCTTGGAGCGGATAATTGATAGATAGGCTAGTACTCGATGGTATAGAAGTGTTTACAGGAAGGCTTCTCTAAGGGTAGTAGGGGTAGGGGTAGAAGAAAGAAAGTCAAAAGAAAAAGATATGATGATGAACAAGGTTCAGAGATAAATAACAACCGTTTGCCGACAACGGCATCAGAAATGCTTCTTGGTATTTCTTCCGGTCACTGATAAAATCTGCAAGCGCACGGATATACCGTTGTAGCACTTCATCAGAGAGTATTCCAAGGTATTGAATTTCCACGGGGAACGTGTGTGTTTAGCTCTTCTCTAGGTTTCTCCAAGGACACCAGATAAAATAGGTAAAGGGAAGAGAGTATTTTCTAGTGAGAAACATGGTCTAGTGAACAATACTTCAGGCGTTGGCTTGCTAGCTGCTACAGATTGCGCTCTACTCCATATCCGGACAGGGAAGACTTTAGTGATCCTGACGGTTGTCACCACATCTACACCAACCATTAACGAACTATGGGATACACAGCAAATACTGGTATTCAACAATAAAGACACCACATCTTCACTATTAAATACTACTCTGATATCGATCAAACGTCAAAGTAAACACTATTTCTAGTGAACAATATTCCAGTACGCTAATAGGAACTAACTAAGAAATAAACCTCACAAAGTAAATCTCAAATACTCGATAAAGATATTATCAATTAAAGTAGAGTAACTGACAAGGTACATAAAGTAAAGAGGAAAGTACTGACAACTCCGGAAATTCCTCCGACTCGTTCTCCCTTATGCTCCCCCTATTCTAAGTGTACAATAAAGATAGAAAGAGCCTCTTGTAATTTAGCTCTAGCTTGGTGTGTATTGAAGTGAAGGTGGAGGAGTCCTTTTATAGGCAACGAATGACGGTTGGGAGCGCCAATACCGGCCCGCCATAAGGAAGTCGGTAGTAATCGTCAATAGGCGGTTTTGGCTGGGCTGGGCCAGGCCGAGTTCAGCTGAACCCAGGGGTCGGCCGACTCCTGGCCAGCTCCCCTGGCCGTGGACTTCCTCTTGGGCCTTGGCAACTATCTCCTTGGTCCAGTGATGTGTTGGTTGGGCCTAATTTTTGGTATTTCGATGAGTTTTTGAGCCCAAGTCTTCTATGGATGAAATTCTCCTTCACTTTTATATGTATTTCGTCTCAACTTTGGTTATTTATTACCTGCATCCAAATATAGACCAACACTTATGGAAATTGTTAGAATTAAACTCTACCACTATGTTGGATGTTTTATATTTTTAGATTTATACAAGTCTTGGCGGCATAAAACTGGCATTTAACAGCCACCAACAGTACCTTTGATCGTTCAGGCCAATCAACTGTGGCCAGAATGATAGATCTTTCTTCTAATGCTGTTTCCATTGTCTGCTACTTGGGCACTCCCTTCCAGTAGCCGCCCGACCCTAGCTGGTGAAAGTACTGCTTCTTAGCAGCATTGGCTAAGATTTAACTTGAAAGTTTCAAAGTTTAACTTGAAAGTTTTTTAATTTGAGTTTAAAGTTTTTAAATCTTAAATTGAAAGTTTTTAAATATTGACTCGAAAGTTTTCAACGAGTGAAGAAAAGGAAATTAGATTATAAGTTTTCAATTTTCTTAATAAAAATAGCAAAAACAATCGTGAAAAAGGAGGCACAGAAACGTAATTAGATTCGGTTAATTAAGCGCCGATATATCAGCGCATGCGTGCAGCGCCCTTTACTGTCTCAGCAACGTGCGTGGCTTCTTTTAAGTCGCGCATATGCGCTAATTAGCAAAACCGCTTGTTTTTCGTTGCTGTACTCGTGTTGGAAGCAGTGGTTCGTGCAGCCGGCTAGCCAGGTCTCTTCGTTTTTCTTCGCGTTGATTTTTTTTTCAGTGGCTGTATTTATTCGTGCAATAGTCAATGTTATTCTTTAGGTCCGATTTCATCAAGCATGGAATTCAAAATTAAACTTTGCTACTAATTTCTAATATGCTATATTTTACTAACTCCGTTGATTTTCATAATGAAGCTGTATTTCAATTTTGAACTGCCGTTCAACATAAAACTTTACTGGCACAGTTTTTTTATAGAACTAATTAATGTATATTTATAATTTGAATAATTATCGAGCAATAAAGAAGGAACTTTGGCAATTTAATTTGGAAAATATGCTTTAGAAGAGGAACAGAGATATTGAGTAAGGAGGAGGGGGCTCTCTGATAGTTGGGATCATTGGTCCATAGACAAAGAATGCATACCCAGAACTCACCTCTCATCTCCTCGACCCTATTATCAGTAGCCTCTCTTGTACAAGTGTGACACGGTGGGAGGTTTGGAATTGTAAAAGGAATTGGTGGGGACGACACATAGGGAATTGCGTGATTGAATTCAAAATTGGGATGATAAATATAGATGCACATTAATATCATGCCATTTTTCATTCCTCCATCCGTTTGCGCATTAGGTTTCCTAAGCATCGATTGCGGTCTGGAAGGAGACGACAGCTACCCGGATGACCAGACCGGCATTACTTATGTCCCTGATGGTCCATATGTCGACTCTGGGGAGAACCACAGGGTAACCACCGTGTACAGGAACTACTGGGGCCAGGACTACCGTACTCTCAAGACGCTCAGGAGCTTCCCTTCCGCTTCTGGTAAGCGGAACTGCTACAGCCTCCCTACCAACGTCGGGGACAAGTACCTTGTCAGGCTGGAATTCTTATATGGCAACTACGACAGCATGGACAGCTCTTTGCTTAAATTCAACTTATCTCTTGGGGTGAACCACTGGAACACCGTGAATTTGGACACCACCGACGACCAAGATGGTTATAACTTTTATGAGGCGGTGTTCGTGGCATGGGCGAGCTGGGCGCCGGTGTGCCTCATCAACATTGGCCAAGGCATACCATTTGTGTCCACAGTAGAGCTGAGGCTGCTCGGCACTTTGCCCTACCCGGCTATCATCGGCAATCAGTCACTCTCCCTCTATGTCAGAAGGAGCATAGGATCGAGCGCTGACGATGATATGAGGTACAAATGTTCTTTCCATGGTTGTAGCATAAAGAGCATATTAGTGGCGCATATGCGGACCTATACAACAATGGTAGTTTTCCTTACTCGTAATTTTCTAAACCAACCTAAATTTTTCTCACTCCTAATTTTGCTAGTATTCATCATAGTCAACTTGTTTTAAAATTGTCTAATGAGAAAAACTATATATATGTTTTTTTTTCTTACAAAGTCTTACAAAAGGTGATGTGGCCCACCATAATTGAATCTTGATGTTCTATACTCTCAACTAAATAAATCATTAAATTATTGCCAATTTGGTGAAAAATTTGAAATCTGATTTGAGCTTGCATTTAATTAGGCTCAAGGAGAATTATAGATCTTTAGTGCAATCATGGATTGATCAATTGTAACTGTTTTAGAGCGTAGTTCTTTTCTGCCCTTTGTTTCTTAGTATATACACTCTTTTCCATTTATATAAAATTTATATACCGTGGAGGCCTTCCCCACTGTTTCTTGGTAAAAAAAAATTAAAGCATTAAATCAAACGGGTGAGAACTTTGTTTGGAAGAGTTCTATAAGAATTTTTCTTAAGTACATATATATAGCACTGCTCTTGTGTAATCCTTGTACATTCGGGATCATAGGTATCCTGATGATCAGTATGATCGGTACTGGATCATGGGAGAAACAACAGGAGCTGCCGACATGTCCAACATTTCCACCCCGACGATCATCCCGCCGAGCGTCCCTTTTGCAGTGCCCTCGCCTATACTCCAGAAGGCAGTTGTGCCAGCTGACAACTCAATGAAACTAGTTTTCCACTCAGACCAATTAGATGCACAGCTCCGTGACCACCTTGTGATCCTACACTTCGCCGACTTCCAGAATAACAAGTCCCGGGAATTCACTGTTTCAATTGACAGTGGTGTACAGAGCGGCCCATTCAGTCCACCATACCTGAAAGTTTTGTCCATCACCACAGATTGGTCCAGCGATACCGAAGGCAAGTATAACTTCACACTCACGGCCACATCAACGTCTTCCCTGCCCCCGATCCTCAATGCTTACGAGGTCTACGGTCGCATCATCCATGACAATCCAATGACATTCTCCCAAGATTGTAAGCTCTCTATCTTTGTCTAGCAACGTACACTAAATAACACTGTCAACTATCTCTCTTGAATTTCTTAATTATATTTCTATTCATATGTTAGTTGATGCGATCATGGCTATTAAATATGAGTATGGAATAAGGAAGAACTGGATGGGTGATCCGTGTTTCCCACCTGAATTTGCTTGGGATGGTGTTGAATGTAGCAGTGACGGAAAAACTATGAGGATAATATCTCTGTAAGTATTATTGTGAAAATATACATTCACTACCATCATTTTATACATTTGGTACCATTTCTTGACATTTGATTACTTAAAACTATAATGCAGCGATCTCTCCAACAGCGAACTGCACGGGTTAATATCCAATAATTTCACATTGCTTACTGCCCTCAAGTATTTGTAAGTATATTTTCCACTGCCTTAGATTTGCCACATCTGAAATTCTCAGTTGGCATGAGTGGGGATCATTATCTGCTAGTGTTAAATATGACTGAAAAACACCAACTATAAATGGTGACTGGATGCAGTTTTACGGTCGTAAAATGGTATAAAACGAAAACATGCTTGTTATATTTTACTGCAGCTTTATCACTTAATAATATCATCCTTTGTGGCAAAAACGTAGCTTTGAAATATACCTGACAATAATTAAAGAGGTTTGGTACTTAATATACCTAGTACTCTACCATGCTTTTACCCTTGTCTAAATCTTTTAGTGGATAGGTTTGTTTTCACATTGTTATCAAGCTAGGGACATTGCTTAATACCTAAACTGCATATCGCTCTGTACAGAAACCTGTCATGCAATCAACTGAATGGAGCAATTCCAGACTCCCTCCGTAGAAAGAATGGATCAATGGTTCTAAGGTTTGGCTATTTTTATATTGATGTTAGATTTACTAATTAGCATTATCCGGATTGTGGAATGTTACTCTTTATCTAAAATTTAGGGACGTTAACACCAAACAATTTCTTTTAACCAATTTAAAATTTTAAACTTTGGACTGCAATTTCAGTTATGAGTCTGGTGGAGATATGTGCAAAAAACCAGTAAGTCCGTCGTCAAGAAACAGAGCAGCTGCCTTAGCTGTTTCAGTAGTGGTTCCAATGCTGGCAGTGGCCATACTTGGTCTGGCATATTTATTCTGGAGAGCCAAAAGAAAGCACAATAGTGCGTACCCTCTGCTATTGTAATCTTGAAAAAATATTGTTGCATGGTTTACCAACTGCATTTAGTATTTGCTAATATATATCTGTTCTTTCTGCACCTGTTTCTACAGATGATCCTCCCACGGTACTAGAACTCACGGGTGCTCCAGGACATAAGACAAATCATTGGGACCGTCTACAAAAACCTGAAAATCGTCGATTCACATTTGAGGAGCTACAGAAGTTCACTGATAACTTCAAACGTTTAATTGGGCATGGAGGCTTTGGGCATGTGTATTATGGTTCTCTAGAAGACAGTACTGAGGTTGCAGTCAAGATGCGATCTGAATCATCATTGCATGGGCTTGATGAGTTCTTAGCTGAGGTACCAACGACAGATACTATTAAGTTTAGCACAGTTATAATCTATAGGTTCCATATATGGTATACACATTTGAATATAAACAGTCTCATCCACTGTGAGATTTCATACACACTGAGATTTAATCTTTTGTTTTATCCCGTTACATAGGTTCAGAGCTTGACCACGGTGCATCATAGAAATCTTGTCTCTTTGTTTGGTTACTGCTGGGACGACGATCACTTAGCGCTTGTCTATGAGTACATGTCTAGTGGCAATCTTTGTGATTATCTGAGAGGTTCGTCCATTACAAACTTTAACCATTGAATGTTGGGAAGTTTTTGGGAGGATACTGGGCACACGTGATGACCTACACATAGTGCAAACCAACTAGTTGGCTATTCATCTTTCCTTCTTAGAACTATACACTGCCAAAGCAGCTCGTGTTGATTCTACGTGATTCTAGGCTAATGACTCACTTATGTTAAACGACAGTTTGCGGAAATACTACTATTATAAGTACTACTTGCCTGGAGAGACGACCATAGTTTAGATTGTTTTAAATAAAAAAGAGACTCATGGTTCATAGCAAGCCCTCATAACCAATTCACCCTAACACTATGTCTAGTGACTCATGTTTCTAGTGGTGACATGCTATTACTCTCTACTAAGGACCTTCATGGCCATAAAGATACCATAAAGGATTAAGTGTTGTTTTATATTGGTACCAAATTCTGCCCTATCAATCCTTTGGTTGTTTAGACAGTAGTTCGATTACTTTGGATTCAGACGAACTATTGGCAATCTGACACTATTTTGGTAACTTTCCAGGTACGAATCCAATTCAACACTGAATTGGTAGTACACTAAGCATGATTGTTGCAAATTTACCCTACCAATAGTTTTAGTACTTAGGGTAGAAAACAAAACCTATCCTTAATTCTGTCTCTTTTGATGAAGTATCTTGATCTTGTATTTTGTAACCTTTTGTCGTAATTTTAATTGAAGGAAAATTTGTCATAGTTATTCTTGTTTCATTCTCAACACAACACAATCACAATCACAACACAACACAACACAATCATAATAAATAACTGTTTTGCAATATATTGAACCTGAAAGGCCATCTTGACTGATTTTGAAGACATGCTACTATGTGATATAGAAACTATTTAGTTGAAACATACTTCTCCTTGCTAGTGCTTGAAAACAAAGTAATGCCAAGTCATGATTTGCATCTCTCTAAGAAATCATCAGATTGGTTATTATGTTTTGTTAAAAAGGGATAAATACTATATGAGTATAGAAAAATGTTGTACAACAACATTAATTGTGGTATGAAGTTATTCGTAGAGTTCTCTTCTAATTGTATGTGTGCATGTATGAAGGTAAAACCAGTATGACCGAAACGTTTAATTGGGCAACACGTGTAAAAATTGCGTTAGAAGCTGCACAAGGTATGCTACTATAGGAATACAGACAAAATTAAAAAATTATATTGTAATCCTTCTTCTTAGTATGGTTTTCTTATGTGTAGGCCTGGATTATCTACACAAGGGTTGCAACTTGCCAATAATTCATGGGGATGTGAAGACAAATAACATTCTCTTGGGTCGAAATCTAAAAGCCAAAATAGCAGATTTTGGGCTTTCTAAAACCTATCATAGCGACTCTCAAACTCACATATCAGCTAGTATTGCAGCTGGATCTATGGGTTATATTGACCCTGAGTATGAGTCTCTATGTGCACACTATTACTTTTGTGCTATCTATTCATATATATGATTGTTTTATAATATTCAACTTATTCACTCTTTGCAATCATTATGTTGGCCATTTGTAGGTACTACACCACCGGCAGGCTCACTGAGAGCAGTGATGTCTATAGCTTCGGTGTTGTTTTACTGGAGGTAACTACCGGTGAACCTCCCATAATACCTGGAAATGGACACGTTGTTCAGCGTGTGAAGCAGAAGATTGTCACAGGTAACATCAGCTCTATTGTTGATACACGTCTTGGAGGTTCCTATAATGTTAGCTCCATGTGGAAGGTTCTAGATGCTGCCATGATGTGCACAACAAATATTGCTGCTGAAAGGCCAACAATGGCTACAGTGGTTATGCAACTGAAGGAAAGTCTAGAATTAGAGGAAGCTCATGGTGAAAGGGGTGATATGGAAAACCAAGCAAGGGATAACACATATTTGATGTCCACATTTGGTCCATTGGCAAGATAAACAAACTGTTCATACCAAGCTTTGGGACATAGCTGATGGTTCTCTACTTATAGTCTGTAACAACAAAACTAAAATGCATCGATGATTTTTTAAGACACATTTTTTACAGTTTGTATTAAGACACATAACCAACATGATCGTTGTTTGCTGTGGGTATTGCGACTCAATAGTATGCTTCAATGTGCAACGGTGAGTTGTCTATAAGATTCCTGATTCTTCTAGTATTATTACTCAAATATTATGTACCAAAGATATCAAAATGTTTAAGCATGTCTTAATCATTTCATTTTTTTTTTTTGCTAATTTCACCTACAAACTGTACAAGTCATAAAATCGATAAACATTCAATACTGATTTGTTTTGAAAAGATTTGCACCATTGAGCTCATTGTTTATCCAAAGTTTCCTTTTCAGTGTTCCTTTTTATTGTTTCACCTTTTTAGAGATTGTAGCCAAACTTCTAACTTTTGAGTGTCAAATCCTCTTTGTTCTCTTGAGGAATCCCTTATTCATCCTAAAGTTTTTGAAAGTTCCCATATTTCAATCCATTTAGACTCGCATATGCTCTAAACCATTTTCTCTTGCTAAGAAAACTAAACCCTTGCAGACTCAATCAAAACTAATCTTGTTGTAACTATCTTACTTTAATTGCCTTTGAACATGACATGATACAATCATATTCCTAATATGTGTTTCTTAACTCTGGATCTAATTGCTTAGTCTAATGCAAGATCACTGTTGGTGGTCGTTAAACCCCAGCCTTCAGCAATAAAACGGGTCAAAACCATTGTTGGCGGTCGCTAAACCACATTCGAAACATAAACCTTCTTCAATAAAAAGTGTAAAACACCATTCAATGCATCAAATTTGTTTAACTAATCTATGTTCGCTCATTTCATTGGCAGATTCAATGGGTGGTCCCCGGACCACACAAAAAATTTCTAGCGCAAGGCCCAAATAGACAAGTATGGTAAGAAAAACAGAAACCTAAATCCTAGCCATGAAAGCATGAAAGTGGAAGGGCCGTATCGTTTATTTTGATCCCTCTCCGCAACCCACATCGCACGATCGAGCGACCATAGCAGTGCACGACCGCAGGTGCCTAGGGTTAGGACTCCTTGACACCTACTCCTTCCCAATGTCCGGCCGTGCGGCGATGGTATCACGGCGGACAATTCGGCAGTGTGATCAGGTCAATCGTCAATCGAGCAGCTTGCCACCAAAGGTAGTGTGTAGGTGCCACGGTTGGCGCACTGGTGGAGAAAGCATCTTTAATCCCGGTTTACAACGCCCTTTAGTCTCGGGTTGCAAACCGGGGCAAAAGATGCCCATCTTTAGTCCTGGTTAGTAACACCAACCGGGACTAAAGAAGGTAACGCCACGTGGCTTGTGTTTCCATCTTTAGTCCCGTTCTTTTCATTGTTTTTTGTTGTTTGCATTTCGTTTTTTAGCCGAACTCATCCACAAATCATCTCCCGACACCCCAAATAATCCACAATCCCTAATTATCCACAACGACAAAATCATCTCCCGGCATCCCAAATCATCAACAATCCCAAATCATCTACAACAACATATATACTCAACAAAAAATCATCCACAAATTAAGATGTCAAAAAAGGAAAAAAAAGAAAGAAAAACAACTGGCGGCCGCCCCTCTGCCGCCCAGCCGCAACCTCCTCATGCACCCGGTCTCCGCCCCGCCTTCCCTCCCACCGGATCTGGCGGAGGGGAGGCCGCCGCCCGCCTTTCCTCGTGCAGTGCCCGCCGGCTTGCCCGCTCGGTGTGCTAAAGGAGAGAGAGGAGGAGGCTGATAGAGGAGGAAAGGGCCTCCGCTGGAGGAAAAAGAAATAGAGGAGAGAGGTGGAGTTTGCGAGGATGAGGGGGAGAGGATAAGTCCTAGGGATTATATAGGGCATTTTAATGGAGGCTCTGACTTTTTTTAACCAGCATTAAAAATGATCTTTATTCCTAGTTGATAACATCAACCGGGAATAAAGATATAAAAAAATTGGTTGGGCTTTTTAACCGGACAAAAAGATGTTTAGTCCCGATTCCTATTCAAATAGGGACTAATGTGGTTTTTGGCCAACCCAGCAAAGATGGTTTCTCCAGTAGTAGCGGCAGCAGCAGTGGAGGGAGGTCGAGCTGCATGGGTGCACGGCTGGCGGCAGCTGTCGATGGATACAGTTTCACAGCAATTAGTCAAGCAAAGCAAGGGAAGTCGATCTATAAAAGCAAGCAAGAACAGCCAATAGAAAGCTGAAAGGAAACAAAACATGGATAGATTTTTAAAACATGAAGAAGCTGTACAGTAATCTCGTTTAAACTTTTTTAACCGTATTAATTTCTCTAAGTCAATTGTTGATTTTGAAGTGTTTCTAAGGCACCTCTCAATAATATATGTGCATTATTGGCTTATTCTATCATTATTGTATACATTATTATTGTATATATTGGCATTGTTTATATTAACGATGTTTTAAAAAAAATCAAATCAGATCACCTATACCGTAAATCCTAGATACGCAGCTGGTTCATTTTGCGGGTACCACTCGAATGGTAAAAAAAATATGCGTATGTAACAAAGGAGAGTAGGAACCAACCAACCCTGACTGCTTGGTCAGTCAGCTAGAGCCTAGCCAGCCGACCTCGGCCAACCTCTCACTCATCAGACAGGAGGCCAGGGAGGAGCTAGGCTAGCCGATCATAGCTCACATAACCTGTGCGGCCTTGCTATGAAGCCCGAAGGCCATCTGACTTAGATTAGGGTCGACCGATCCTAACACTACGCCAGCCAGTCCACTAGGCTGTGTTCGGATTCCAGTGATGGGAACTAATCCCTCCCGCACGGAAAACGGAGCGGTCTATTAGCGTGTGATTAATTAAGTATTAGCTAATTTTTTTCAAAAATGGATTAATTTAATTTTTTAAGCAACTTTCGTATATAAACTTTTTGCAAAAAACACATCTTTTAGTAGTTTAAAAAGCGTGTGCGCGAAAAATGAGGGAGATAGGTTGGAACATGGGGATGCAAACACATGCACGCGTGGGAGTATCCAAGGCTTACATCTGAATCCAGGGTGAAATCACAGATGTTGACGACCACTACTATCTTCCTGGCTGGCCGACGTTGCCAGGAGTATTGATACCACCCCCTCTCCCCTTACTTACATCAGATCACACCATAGCTTCCATTGCTCCTACATTCATGGCCAGGCTAACTGCAATGTAGCTAGGAATAGGATAGAAGTTATTTGCATGTTAGAGTATGAGGCTTTGCAAGTTGCTGACATCGACCGTTAACCAGTATTTGCCCTTTCATCTTCAAGTTTGAATCCAATCTTCCTGTATATATCAATAGAATACAGATCGATAAGATGTTATGAATTGAAATAACAGAAACTCAGATCGAAAGACACAAACAATTAATTTAATATAACCGTGAGAAAAAAAGAAGAAGACGGAACTCTAACTGAGAAGAAGCACTACTGAGACTCCCATAAGGACCGTCCGAGTGCTGTAAGACATTAGAGTATGCAACTTAAGGGTGTCAACTCAGAGGATGTCTTTGAGAGCATCACTAACAGTCTATCTATTACATTCCCAATCCTGATTTTTTGGGATTTTGGTTAAAAAAAACTAGTCCAACAGATTCCTAAAAGAGCTCCAAACGTTCTGGAGTTCCCATCTCAAGTTTTCTCGGTACATGTATTTGAGGACGAGAGACCGACTCCCAACCCTCTTCCCCGCGCGTTTCTCCTCTCCTTCCCCGCGCTTCTCCTCTCCTCCCCGTGCGAGCAGCAAAAATGCTCCCGCACAGCGATTCTTCGCGCCCACGCCCACCAAGTGCTCGCCTATCGGCTGCTCGCCCGCCGGCGTCTCGCCCGCCACGGCTTGAAAAAGGAAACTTTGCGCTGCCGCCACCGTTTGGGTTTCCGCCACCGCCGCCGCCAGGTTCAACGTTTGTGCCACTGCCGCAGTCTGGAGTTCCGCCGCCGCCGCCGCTGGGTTCATTCTTTGTGCCGCCACCACAGTCTAGGGTTCCACCACCGCCACCGCAACTTGGGGTACCACCGCTGCCGCAATTTGGTATGATGCCCCAGTACGGTTTGAATCAGTCGACAGCTCCTCTGCGCCCCACAGCGACGGCTTCGTCCCGGCTAGGATTTGCGCCACATCGATCTGCCCAGCTCCATCCCCGATCTAGCAAGTGTCCCATTGAAAATGAGGGGACGGATCCAGTGGATAATGACTATGCCGGCGTCGATTTGAGGCAAGATTGGTCTGCTGGTGAAGAGGAGGTCGACCGACGATGCAGCTTTGGTGTCCCCTTGACTTATTTTGTCAGCAATGAAGGTAATTGATCGCTAATCCCTTGTGTTTGTTCATGAAATTTACAGTGCACTGAAGTTCAATGGATCAGACTAAAGAAATGCACATGTGTGTGTAATGCATGATATATGAACAGCTCTTGAGTTTCTGTGTGTGGTGATACATAACTGAACTTGTTTGTGTCATTGAGCTTTATGGCCAAACATAATAAAATTTAGAGTGAATTGTCTCTTGGGCTAGTGTTTATTGGACTAGGTTGTAGCAAGTCATTTTTGTTTGAATTATCTGAAAAAAATCCAATTTGCCATTGTTTTTGTAAAAATGCAGATATATAGTAACTGATGTCCATCAAAATTTGTTTTAAAGTTTGCACCCAAATTTGAAATAATGCTTTGATGTAATTTGATGCATTGAAATGGCAAACATGTACTGATTGAATTTTACTCATGTCATGATGCAAAGCATTTTAGATCGAATTTCTCGTTGTATGTTTGATTTGAAAAGTGAAACTTATACTGACTGAATTTTACCTATGCAGCATGTCTTTACTCTGTCCAAGAAATCCATGTGACAGTACATATGCGTTATGTTTATGTGATGCTGCTTGTTTATGTGATGCTTCATTTTTATGTGATGCAAGGGTCTGTAGTATGTCATTCAGTCAATCATTTACTTTGCTTTTTCTTTCTCATGAATAGGGAGCATGGATGGAAGTGGGTATTTTACAAACTTGGTAAATGAGGGTGGCAGTTCTTACGATTGGAGTGCTGAAGGTAGCCAACCCGAAAATCTGAGCAACAATTCGAGGAAGGAGAAGCTACTGTGAGACCAAACCAAAAAAGGTCTAAGAATTTTAGTATGCAGGAGGATGTCCTAATGGTATCAGCATGAGTTAACATTAGTATGGATGCTATTCAAGGTGCCGATCAACCTCGAAGTACATATTGGAACCGTATT